CTATTACTAGATCAAGCAACACAAGTAAATATTTACTTAAAACGTGACTCTAAGCCATAAATACACACATTAAGTCACATTTTCCTTCAGCAGCTTAGTAAAAAGTTTTCAAAGAGAATTCGTATATTACATACTTTTACTCCTATAGTTTAAAAGTTTGAGTGGAAGCCAGAAGTCGCTACTCTGATCAAAAGTCACGTACACCTATTGACTTAAAGTTTTCAATGTGCTCGTAGTTCGTATCATATCCTGCAAGTTTGGCTGCATCCCTGCAGACACCAGTCGTACCATGTATGTGCAAGTTTTTGGAGTTATCTGTAATATGGATGTGGAACAATGGTGTTGTAAGTTTCGAAGATTAGATGGGTGAATATCAACATGTGCATATTTTTGTCAATTTTGGTGGCGAAATTTTTTCTTTACTTTTCGTGAAAACTATTGACCTGGTACAAAAATAGAAGGCTCAAGCTTTAGAAATCTTCATGAGGTCTGAGAATATCCCGGTAATTTTTTGAGATATTTGAGTTCAAAGACTAGTGCAGCCACCAAAATTGATATTTGTCCACCAAAATTGAGAGTGCTTAAAACAATACATTAAAAATATTTTTTTGTCAAAAACATAAATCTCACTAATAAAGCTCAATGTCTAAAATACTCGGAAATGACCAAAAACTCCATCAGTTAATAAAACTCAGTCTTGTTATGATAATATTTTTTATTACTTATCTGATGAACTCGTAATAATAATTATGTCTACATAAAACAATCTTTTTATTTTGAACAAAATTACTTGAAAAAACAACAAAAATTTCCTCAACAAAACTAAGAAACCAAAACATAATAAACTCTTAACTCTTCTGAGGTCTGAAATCCTTCGCTGCAATATCTCTATCTCTTTGGCTTTGCATTTTTGATATCATCGAAACTTATTCCTAAACGCACGTTTGAAGTCCACTGACGTTATTGATATATCTGAAGTTGGACTATCAGGGCATACTATGGAAACAGTTGTACTGTTTCCACATCATATTCACATATCAATACTGCTGACACATGGATATGTAAGGGGTGACAGCGCTGTAAGTTCAGCAGGGCTACTTGTGCGAAGATTTTGTGATACTTGGAGTAATATGACTTGTGGTCGGCTGTAAGCTGTCGGAGTATTAATTTCGCGCGTGAGGCAGCGCTTCGCTGCCTCACGCGTCCCGCCTCCTCCTTAGCTAGCATGACTGCTTCGCAAAAGGAGGAGACGGCATCCCAGTCCCCCTCGCTCCGCATCATGGCCTGCACTAGGCCCGGACGCGAGAGGTCGCCATCGCCGATCACTTCCCTGAGGGCACGGCGGTGCTCAGCCAACGCAGGGCATTCCGCTACGGTGTGTTCCACCGTGTCCTCAGGGCGGTCCTTGCAGTGATGACACCCGGGCGTTTCCTTCCGCCCCATCAGACACAGGTACCTCCCGAAACTTCCATGTCCGGTGAGGACCTGCGTCAGGCGGTAGGTGAGGACGCCGTAGCGTCTCTCAAGCCACTCCTCAAAGAGGAGTCTTACCGCTGCAATGGCAGCGAGCCCAAGCCGGTCGGCCTTAGAGTAGTACAGAAAAATGACATGGCATGTGCAATTTAATAAATAGAAGAAACAGAAGAGAAACATATACAATAGTGACGTATACTTAGATATATACATATAAATAAACAATTTGTAGTGAAAAACTGTCTATATATGCAAAAATAATATATAAACAGTACATAATACTAATTTGGTGGCTTATTTTCTATTTTGGTGGCGAAAATTGCCACCAAAGCCACCAAAATTGAGCCACTAAAATTGAAACCAGGCATAAAAAAAATTTTAAAGAATACAGTTATTAAGATACAATAGAATAAATATCACTGATTAATAAGTTACCCAAATCACTACCTACAATATGTAGCTCACTATTAAAACACTTAAAAATCAACAGCAAATCGACCCACCAAAATGGAAAAATTCTTGTCCCCTGTTCGACCCAAGATGATACTTACGTTTTTGGCGAGAAATCATAGCACTATGCACATACCTGCTATGTGCCACTACCTGCGCACGACTGACAAATACAGAATATAAAACGCGATTGATCGTACACACACGAATCTTCATGCTAAATGTAACTTGAAAAAGTACTACCAAAATTATGATTTTTGCCAGGACAAACTTAAATCGAGTATCCTGTGCTTTTAAAATCAATTTTATAATACGGTTTAGTTGTTTTTAGATAGTGTGTCTTATGCATATACTAATGTAATAATTTGTTTTTTACTTCACTTTAAATTATTTCTTTGGTTCAAAAAATGGAGCTAGGACAAGCCACCAAACTTGAATTTCAAAGTTATTTATTTTTCCAAAGCTTCCACAGGTAAGCCTATTTAAAAAAAAATGTGGCCCTAATTGGAGTAAGTTAAGTAGTTCACTATAAAAAAATATAAGAAACATGCCATCGTTTTACACCATGATTCTCAACGTGGACACGTAAAATTACCGCCTGGGATATTCACCCAGATAGGAGTGGTAAGAAACGAAGAAATGCAGATATAAATTAGTACGAATTTTGTTTTCACTGATTTATTTATTTCCATAATTATTTTGACAACAAGGTTAGTGCGGTGGCTGGACAACCGGCTGCCACGCAATGTGTCAGGGGTTCGATTCCCGCACGGAGCAACTCTTTGTGTGATCCACAAATTGTTATTCCGGGTCTGGGTGTCATGTGTATGTTTGTAAACGCATCCACGATACAGGAGAAAAGCTTAGTGTACCGAAAAGTTAAAAAAAAATCTGAATAGTACGATGAGTAATTTTAAGTGCGGGAGGGCTATGCTTCAGCACATATGGGCCGGCTCGACCGGAGTGATACCACAACCTCACAGAAAACCGAGACGTGAAACAACGCTTGTGTTGTGTTTCGTCGTGTGAGTTAGGTTACCGCAAGCCCAATTGCCTCTGAAATGGCTGGACCGATTTTGACGTGGCTTTTGATTGGCAGGTAGCTTATGTACTTCGTAAACGTTCATCCGGTCGCCCACCTTACATGGCATGACACCCACTTTTCACTATTTATGTTATGAGTCCCATGTAACAGGGGATGAGTCTATTGCCATTACCGGGTACATTTCCAGACTCCGTGCTACCACTGAGATTTTTTTTAAAACCCAGTATTAATTTGCCCGACTCGGGAATCGAACCCGAGACCCCTTGCCCGGTAGTTACACTTGCGACCACTCGGCCATCGAGGCAGGCAATGAATTATGAAACGTGTTAATTCCTTCTCCATCTCTTTGAGAAGAAGTCTTGATCTAGGGGAGCGGGTGAGTTAGCTAAAAACTAATATCTTAATACATTTTATCTTACTGTGGCACACAAGCCCTAGTTACTGACCCCACATTTTCTTAGATTTACTATAGAGTTTAATCTGAAAACTTTTCCGTTTGACGTGGTTTATTTTCATGGCTGAATAAATATTCAATGTTTATGTGTTATTTTCTTGGTTTGCGTATTACCTAAAGTGAGTAGAAAGTAAGAATGAGTAAAGAAATTTGCAGATTTTTTTGAAACATATCTAAAAAGTATATTAAGAATGGTGGAATAAAAGAAATACGGTAAAGATAACCTCTTGAGATGAAAGTATAAGTTTTATGCATCAATGGACTTTTTGAAGACTGATAATTATGTTAATCATGATTTAAACTTTATAAATTATTCTATTGTATAAACCCACTCTTATTGACCCAAAAGAGTGCTTTTTCGTTTAGTTTTTTTTATATTATCTAGCTAGATCATATAATTGAACTTCTTTCTTTAAACTGGTCGACTCATTGTTCGAAGCATACAATATTTATTTATTTATCTTTATCATTTCATGTACACCATGCAGCAGATAATATTACAGAGGATAACATATTACAAGCATGAGGTACATAGGTACTGCATATTCCTTGAGGGATTTCTTTCTGCAGACCTGCGACTGGAAAAGGAATATAAACATTAGACACAGAATATTATCATAATATTCCATGATCAATACCGTTGATCACCTCATTCCTATGCCTAACTTTAAATACATAACATAACACAACATCTTATTATCCCCGAAGGGGTATTTTTTTTAAGGGGGGGAAATCATCGAATGACTGCCCCCACCTGGGTGAGGCGGGAGGGAGTGTCAGACTCTTACTGACTAAAAACCACCCCGTTCCTTCTCCTGCACGTCGAGCCGGAGCCCCGGTTACCCGTTAGGTTCTCCGCGACCTCCCCGAAGGGGTAGGCAGAGGTGCACATTACGGCACTTAATACCGCTGTACAATGTAACACCCACTTTTCCCTATTTATGTTATTAGTCCCATATAATAGGGGTGAGCCAATTGCCATATACAGGGTAGAGTTCCAGACTCCGTGCTACTACTGAGATTATTTTAAAACCCAATAATACTTAGCCTGACCCGAGACCCCTTGCCCGGCAGTCGCACTTGCAACTACTCGACCAACGAGGCAGCCTAACTTTACCAAGCTATATAACCTCTGTTGACCTGCCAAATTAGATAGTCCTGCGCGGTAAAGGTGAAGATGCTGAGTGGAGGTAATTAATCTCCTTCTCGCTGACTAATGAGAGCCTTGAGTGAGGAGATAACGTGAGCTGGCTGGTGATTTACCGGAGTTTGCGTTATTCATTGGTGTAGTGTATTGTATGTTCGATTCTGAAGTGGAGAAGGTTGGTTTTATATACGATATAATTTATAATGTTATGCTAGTTGCTCTTAATGGCTTATGTTAACTGCAATTCGATTGTTTTGTTTAGTTTTCGTAAATGGTTATACGAAATATTCATTTGGTCATACGAAAGGTTATATTACATCACGCCTTTTGTCCCCAAAGGGGTAGGCAGAAGTACACATTATGGCACATAATGCCACTGTACAGTGTAACACCCACTTTTTACTATTTACATTATAGCTCCCATTTAATAGGGGGTGAGCCTATTGCCATATACCGAGCACAATTCCAGACTCCGTGTTAATACTGAGATTTTTCACGATCACGACAGGTGACTCGATACTGAGACCAATGGATCACACACGTGATATTTATCTACTTTACTACACCGGCACTTTTGGGTCACAATAAACTACAATTTCAGTTCAAAATAATTTGTTAATTAAAACCATCAACAGTAAATTGCTTATCCCAGATTTGAAATCTAAAACCTCGTAGCACCATGACACAGTTTGCAACATGTATAAATAAACAATTACGACATATCCTTGTTCAAATTTGCGTACATGAAGAAACACGAACACGAAGTATTAAGGTGTGTTACAAAAGGCCACAACTTCTCTCATTTCGCGCCGCGTGTCCTGAAAATCCTGAAAACTTTTTATCCGTTATTTCCTACCTTGTATGGTTTAAGAAGAGATTTTGTAGCGAAGAGTATTATTTATGTTCGGTTTATTCTTTTATTGTAAGCAATAAAAGAATAAACAGAAAGGCGTGATGTTATGTTATATCTTAATAACATAACAATACGCCTTTTATTTTAATATTATCTACCATCTATTATAACATACCTACATTGACGAAATAAACAATATTTGTATTTGTATTTGTATTTATTTATCCCCGAAGGTGTAGGCAGAGGTGTTATGAGTCCCATGTAATGGGGGGTGAGCCTATTGCCATATACCGGGCACAATTCCAGACTCCGTACTACTACTGAGATTTTTTTTAAAACCCAGTAATACTTTGCCCGACCCGGGAATCGAACCCGAGACCCCCTGCCCGGCAGTCGCACTTGCGACCACTTGGCCAGCGAGGCAGTCTGTAAGATATAAGTAGGTATGATTTTATTATCTTTTGCATTAGGTCAGAAAATCATTCAGAAAATCGTTCAAAACTTCAAACTGAAATGTTTCTCGAAACATACTGACATAATACCTACCGAGCTGAGGCCTTATACCAGATCATCTTTCGATACTCGAACCTCTCTCATGTTTGGTTTCAATGTCAGAAAGCCAAACGGCTTCACTAATAAAATTACAAAAGGAAACAGCTTCAAAATAACTTCCCACAAGAGAAATGGCGAGTAAAATTCAAAATGATAAGAAACACAAACAAAGCAACGTTTACATTCTATTAAAAATCTACACCGCCATCACCCATATCTTCCACCACAAAATAACGAATGTTTGCACAAATATTTGCCCTAAACTGATGGAAACCGTTCGCAACTTTCCATTGTCTACTTTCCCATTATATCGTACAAGTTTACATACGAAAAGCCTCTCTGTATCGCTGGCTCCAATATTGGCCGCCAATATTTGTACACTGTAAGACAACATTCATATATTGCGCGAACATTATATTAATTAATGCAAATAAGACTTGTTACAGTAATGGATTGTATAATATAAACATTTATGCTGAGCACTCGAGAATAACAAATACGTTAATGTTCATCTCTTGAAATAGAACATTCTAGACGCGTCTAGTTTGTGAATTATGTTTGGAGCCGTCTTCGCATTTTGAATGGAGAAGAAATCAAGATGTCTGACTTTATGTTCCAATTGGATTATACTTGGTTTATTCATATTTTTGTTAGCTCCTTACTCCCAATGTGCTTTGTATCAACAATTTAGGTAAACAGAACTTAGTCCAGGTGCCCTACATTTTTAATTACGTTTAGATAATCTTTAGACTTTATCGAAAATTCCGTAGTTGTTGAACAAGAATTTAAGTTGAGAAACAACTCATTAAATACTAAGACAATAAACTTGTAAACTTAAAGGTTATAGCAGAATCAGAAGAATAAGAAATGCTAATTAAAATATTTATGAATTAGCATATTTTCTTTAAAGATGTCTATCAAAAACATAGTAGTACCGTGGAATAAGTCTCGATTCTGTATGCTAAATCCAGCATTATTTAACGTTGGGAAAGCACAGAGGTTTGTTCGTCGACATAGACCAGCGCAGCGTTGTTGTAAGATTATTTTTAGCAGTAAACTCTTAATGTATTATATATAAAGTGATAGAATTCTGGCTCTCTTCTGTTTACAGCTGTATCTGACATGTTGGACAATATGGATTGTAACACAAAGCTATACATAAGTAAATAAACAAGACGGAAAGTAAATGACACGCAGTTAGGTTAAAGACAAATAAATGGAAATATGGATAGGTACATACGTATATATTTTTCTTGCCTTCTCTCAGAGCCATTATCTAAATAGGACTTCTCATTGTTCGCTAGTCGATGGAGTGCCTACTCCGAGTACTTTGAAAGTAGAAGCCACAATCTCCTCACGAGGGAAATATACAAAACGATACTTCGCCAAATGAAACGGTCCTTTTGTTACAATAAATTGAAAGTAAAGTATTTTTCTTGGTATGCTCTTAGCTTCAAATGTGAAGTAACGAGGATTTCTTATCAATGTAGGCTTTTTGTGTGTGAGTTTATATTTAAGTTTGGTATTTCTAATCTGACATCGTATTTAGTTTATACTCTGCTGGCATAATATTGTTTTTTTTATGGAATAGGAGGCAAACGAGCACATGAATCATGTAATGGTAATCGATCAGTGCCGCCCATGGACACCCGCAACACCAGAGGAGTCACAGGTGCGTTGCCGGCCTTTTAAAAAAGAATACGCTCTTTTCTTGAAGGTTTGAAGGTTGTTCAACTACTCTTGCAATGTACATACATATTTATGGTGCGAAGTAAGTTTATTAGACTAACTGCGATAGTCAGAGACGTTAAATGATTACTTAAACTATTCCTTAGTAACAATTTTGTTCCGAAAACAGTTGCTTAGGACTGGATTAAGTAGCCATTAAATGACTTTGAGTACGGCGGTAAGAGCACGATTTATATTTTAATATCTGTAATAGGTACTACTACAAACGATAGAACCAATAATTGTAACCTCAACGAAATGTTGTACATCTTCATCTATACGACAGAAGAAAACATTAAAATCTGAAATGCCCAAAAATATACACATAACATCACGCCTTTTTATCCCCGAAGGGGTAGACAGAGGTGCACATTATACGACTGTACAATGTAACACCCACTTTTCACTATTTATGTTATGAGTCCCATGTAATAGGGGGTGAGCCTATTGCCATATACCGGGCGCAATTCCAGAGTCCGTGCTACTACTGATAATTTTGAAAAAACCCAGTAATACTTTGCCCGACCCGGGAATCGACGGTCGGGCACTTGCGACCACTCAGTCAACGAGGCAGTGCACAAGAATATAATTTCCAAATATGCTAATATGTCGTCATTGCAATACATCACACCCACCGACTCGTTCACTAGTCATAATATGCAAAATAAATGTTACATTGCGGGCCACACCTGTCGAATAAAATACACTGTTAACCAAAATAAGTCCTCAATGGAGCGCATACATGACACACTAGCAGCCTGGTTGACATGTCAGACGATTCAATTTTAACATAAATGGAAGCCACAGGCTATAAAAATAATGTCAGTTTGGTTTTGACACTTTAGTGTGTAAAAAAGGTTCGTGCTTATATTTTTACAATATTCTTCTGTTGGGCTCTGGTGAAGTATAAAAATAGAGCTATTTAGGTAAGTTTATACTGAATGGTAAAGTTAATTAAGTTACGCTCAAATACTGAAAGCCTACTGAATTTTAAGTTGCGCTTTAGTATAGTTCTGTCTCTAAAAATTCTTTGTAAAATGACAGAGATGGCATGATATTTAAATAGAACTTGAAATTGACTCAAAATCGCGGATTACTCACGTGAGTATACTGAGAAAAGCTCTACTAGTTTCGAACCACAGAGGGGTTCTTCCTCATAAGCAGCGTGCTCGGTCACGGCGATGTCGCGCAGCCTACTGTTGAGTTAATTTAGTATGTCTCACGATAGTTATTATAAAAACTTAAAATTGAGTAGACTTACAGTATTGGCGTTATCAAAGTCAAAAGTACTGTTGTACAAAACTCTCAAGTCTAACATCAAATGTTTGTTCGACCTGATGAACGAGTCCAAAATCATTATCTTCATCTTCGTCATCATTTCAGCCACAAGACGTCCACTGCTGCACATATGCCTGCCCTTGTTACTTTAAAATCCGTCGATTGAAACCAATATCATCAATTTTACTTTTAATCATTGGAACCATATTAGAACTATCTTACTAATAAATATGAAAGTTTGTATGTTTGTCTGTTACTCCTTCACGTCAAAACGGCTAGAGGGATTGGGATGAAATTTGAGAAAGGGGTAGGTTAGAGTCTGGAATAACATATGCCACTTTTTTTACGTATTGTAAGTATTATCATTATTTTATTTATTTATTTATTAACGCTTCATGCACAAAGTGTACACAAGGTGGACTTAATGCCGCAGGCAACATCATTATCATCATCATCATCATCAACAGCCGGTTCCCACTGCTGGACAAAGGCCTCCCCCTTAGACCGTCACGCCAACGACCACTCGCCACCTGCATTTACTGGCTCCCAGCAACTCTGGCGAGGTCGCCCCGCAAGTAAGGAATGGTAACACAATGTCTACACTCTCATCCAAAAAATATAGGGCTGATGTTATATTTTCAACGTTATGACCTAATACATAAAAGTCATAAAAATACGTGTGACACAATTTTACGTGACTGGCTACTAAAGTATGTATTACATAAAAGATTTTAATTTCCTGTGTCATCACATATTCATGGTAGCCATTTTTTTCTATAATCTGAGATGAATGGCAACGCAGCGGCTAGTGGGTCTCGCTGCATGAATAAATGAGATGGCCAGTGATTGTGCCTGAATTATTCAAGAGGGTACTCTTTTTTTTTCACCCACCGTCGAAATACTCATTCGCTATTCAATATTGTAATCTTCTACTGTTGAATTTAATATAGACTGTACCGCGCTTGATTTCGGTCGACTCTCTAAAAAATGGGGACGAGATTTTTTTTCGCCTCTTAAGACCTTTTTCGTGTTGCGGTGGATTGAAACGATTCTTTTTTGCGTGGGAGCCTCTGAGTCTCGTACAAAGTGTATTAATATAGATGGAAAGGTTGGGTCTGTTTATTGGAAGGAATCAAATACAATATTAAAATCCACCAATTTTTATGAGAAATAACAAAAAACATTATTGTAGCTAGCCAATATAAATAGAACAACCAAATTCTAAAATACTTTGCTACGCGCTACGTTGCTACGAGCTACGTCGCTACGGGCTACGCGCTACACCGCTACGTAAGCGCTACACCGAAATAAATTATTAAGACAAAGTTTCAACGCATTCATAGCGCTGTAATTCCCACTTTACAATTACCATACATGTATAATGTTCACGTTGAATGTATGTGTGTATGTGTTGTTTACGCCGATACATACATTCGATACCTGACGACGAGGCTTAGTCGTATTACTAATTGAATTCTATGATTTATGGATCGTGTTCCAACACTGTTTGTACCATAGAGATGTGCAGGAATGTGGAATGGTATGTTTGTGTGTCTAAGAATTATTTAGTGGAGTTTGGCATACTGCTGTGTTTAAGATATTGGGGTATAATATCTTTCATTAATATTTCTGCGATTCAATAATAATTTTCGATATAAAACAATTGGGTGTTATGAGAAAATGATAGATTTTTCTTTCGGAGTTTAGAGAGCACATATCGTATTTGTCTCGTATATTTTAAATCAGGTAATAGACATAACAATTTACAAAATAAATAAATATAACAGTGCTTGTACCTTAACCCCGCTTCTTGTCTAGTGGAGGTTTAAAAAAGCAATATGTTGAGGTAT